TATATTAAAATAGAGTAAATTACTGATTAAAATGCGAAATATAGTAAGAAAATATTTTTGAATTCATATATGTTTAGTAAATTAAAAAATAAAAACAGTATGGTGATACTCCTTGCATCAAGCTTTTGTAATATAAAGAATTTAGATTATATTGCTGCTGATTGACTTTTATCAACTTCTTGGGCCCGGTCAGGAATAAAAAAAAACATGAAAGTCTTTAAAAGAAGAGTTTGAGAGATAACGCAATTTCCTTCGATAATTTTCTACTCAAACTGCCTCTTCTGCCAGTATTTTCTTAAAAGATTTTCAAAGGCAATCAGTACTCTCTTAAAGTTTTATCCTTTGCAAACCAAACAACCTATTTTTGTTTTATATTTTACTTAAAATTAAATCTCTTAATTATTCAGATTCGTGGTGGCCTTATTCATATTTTGTTTCATCAATATTAATTATAATGAAAAATAAATATGATTATTATTTTCAATTGTTTAAATATTAAATATATTGTATAAGGGGGAGTATATCGAAATATAGGGGAAGTATTGCAAAGGTAAAAAAAATCTAAGCTGAATTTTCAATAGAAATTACACATTTTAAGATCACTTGTGATCAAATTAATAAAGTTTGTAAATTGGTCTATTTACCAAAAGTATCACTTTATATTATTGATTTTATACGTTTTTTTTCTTCTCGAAAATGGCAGTAACAGGATTTGGTTTAAACTCGTTATTTCAATAGCTTAGTGATCATTCTAATTCATTGTAAAAAATTATGATATAACCTTCTCATTGTTATTAATGAATATACTAGTTACTAACGTATGTATTATTAATTCCCTTTACATCTATGACCATATTGAATTACTATTACTCAATATTAATTTAATTGTCTTTAATATCAGCTAGGTCTGATCCTCATTGAAATAACCTGAAATGACGAATTTTCAATTTTTTTCCGTCTAAAGTACCTTTAATTTTGTTCGTCTTAAATAATTGAATAAATATATAAAATTAAATAAAACCATTTTTATTAATTATAACAAAATAAATCATGAAAAACTATGATGTTTGAATAAAGGCAAAAAGTAAAATTTTCCTACCCCTGAAAACAAATGTCTGAGAATAACAGCAATAATATATATTTTTAATATAATATCACTAATGTTATAATACAATGTCATTAACTACTTTGTTGAATTTCCCCTCTGTGAAAGCAGAATACTTTGCACTTATTGTTAGAGTAACTTATTTGAGATTTAAAAGAGTCCATGTCATTTGGATGCACTTGTACTCGAGTGGATCTAAGGAGCGAAGACTTTCGGGCTGAAGTCTCCCCAAACTGGTAAAATATAACCATGTCTTATGAAAAAAAATAATTAAAAATTATACCTAAAAGTATTACTTTTCAAGTAATTACATTACTATACCCCATGAAGGGTCTTGGGTTCAGTACTATTTAGAGAAAGCACTGTTTCTAGGTCAACGGTTGTGCAAGGAGGTGATTTGACCGAGATCACGCTCAACCGCCAGGTTTTCCCCCTTAATTCATTATTTAATTAAGGTTACACACTTTATAGATGCAGGGTGTGCCCCAGGAGGGTCTCCCGACCTAGGGTCGCCCCACGGCCAATGAAACAGATAAATAAATTTTCTGCCATGAGCCGGGGTTCGAACCTGGGGACCTTTAGCATTGGAGCCCTACCACTGAGCTACCCCACTCCCTGTAATTACATTCAGTAGGAATTGAAAAATCATTTGAAATAGACAGGGATTAAAACAGTAATTTTTTTTTACAAATGAGTTAAACTTTAACTGTTTGAAACAAAAATGTATCATTAAGAGATTAAAGGTAAAAGTTTTTCAAAACTGTTAAATAAAGCTTCTAGCTTAAAAAGTTTTTACTTTTTTTAATACCAGTATAAATGTTATAAAAAAGTAATTGTTAAACTTTTACTTATTAGGTTTAAAATAAAAGTTATAAGTACAAAAAATTACGTTATAATAGAAGTTCATAATTATTATATTGCTTGGTATTATGAGTGTAAAATTAATAAATTCCGGTGAATCTGGAAATTATTTCAATGTTTAATTTGTAGAACCTTATACAATGCCAAGTTTTATTTAGTATAATAATAATTGTTTTATTAGAAAACTAAAAGATTTAATGTTTTTGAATTAACAAAATGCATACTATCTTGTTCCATAAACCTTCTAAACATTCCCTATGTTAAAGGCAATGAAAAATTATTATAACGTTTTATATAGCTAAGTACATATACCGATGATTATATTTTCTCTTGATAAAAACGTAAAAGCGTATCTCTTTTTCCATTAAAATCTATTCAAGTATATAAAAACTGATGATGATTTATAAAAACTATTTTGTAAAAACTTTTATTAACGAGGTTTGAAAATAACTATTTTGAAATGGCATGTATCAATAAAAGTAGACGTTCAACAAAAACTTTAATACATTTGCATATATATAGGTAAAAGTTAAATTTTTTAAACTTTTAATTATAACAGTTAACTGTCTCATTCGACCCCTCGGTAGTGAGTTTCTTTTTTTTTTTTCCAAAATAATTGTCGTTCTATATACATAAGTTCTTTATATTATTGATTAGAAAATTGATGATTTCATGGAACCTAATGGTGGAATTTCTAAAGAAACTAAATATAATTTTTTTTTGATGCAATAAATAAAAATAAATAGCGAATAGGATTATTATATGTTATAATAATTGTCTTTGGTTTATATTTTACATAGTTGAAATAATATTCTAGATTTTTAAAGTTAAACTATTACTGTCCCTGGTTAATGTTTCTGAAAGCCTATAGTTGCTACACACGTATAAACCTGATGCTAATTTTATCAAACCAATTAAGAGAAGATGATTGTGGTCGGATTGAATTGTTGTTCAAACTTGTCTTGTTAACAGTGAGCATTCTGCTTTAGACTTCTAAACAGTTCTGAGGTCTCCAACGAGCTACGGAGAGCTTGGTTAATTAATACCAGGACTCGATATATCGACTGTTCTTGCCTTCATCTAAATGAATAATTATATAATAAATTGTATGGAGTAGAGGAGAGAGGGGTTTAAAGTTACCGGGGTAAGTTGTTCTTCAGAGTGAGATAGCTCCAAAACGAAAAGAAATAAATATAAGTCTTATAGTATAACTCAATTCATTTACGTCCTCTGATTCATATAATTATAATCTAAACTATGTTATATGTTTTTAATTATAAAGACTGATTAGCTACATCAGCTGTTAATTGCAAAGTGAGATAATGTATAACCTGAAAGTATACATAAGGTTAATATTAGATGTTAAAACGCCAATTATATCTTCTTTTTTTCATTTATCTCTTAAGATATTGTTGATTAGTCTTTAAATAAATGAGTAAATATTCAAATATTAATTTTTTTTATCATATATGTTCCCGAAAGAGCTAGTAACTTCAGCTTGGGGTAAGTGTTACTTTTTGTTTTCCTGTTTACTAAATTTCATATAAAAACATTCGTTAAAGGTACATCCAAAAGTCATTCAGATTTATAAAGAAGAATATGGGTACAAATTATAAGCTCGCATAAATTTTGTTAATAGGTAATTTTCTAAAGAATATTTGATGTTGTTAAAAGTTCGATTTGAATGGTGAAAAAAAAAGTTCATACCGTAACCTTTGGTTATACAATGACTAGTATAGTATGTAGTGAGGGGTACAGACCCCTTTTTATCGAAGTATTAACATCCGCCTGAAACTTCGTAACCTACAAATATTTTACTTACGAAAACTCTTGGAATTGGAACGTTTTCAATCTGGAGTGGAGCAAACTTTGTCTATTTAATTAGGTACTAAAAACTCATTTGCTTTCTACTTGAATCGTAATATAATTTGATCACAAAATCGAGAAAAAAGGAGCTGCAAAATTATTGGGCCTATATAACCTGGTTATTTTGAAAATTTGGGGCTGCAGGTCACGCCAAACGGCTCAATATTTTTGAAGGCCACCTTTTTTTTCGATTTTGTGATCAAATTATCTTACCATCTAAGTATGAACCAAATGAGTATTTACGAGTTTTTAGTATCTAATTAAATAGACAAAGTTGGTCCCTCTCCAGATTGAAAACACCCCAATTCCAAGAATTTTCGTAAATAAAATATTGTAGGTTACGAAGGCGGATGTTAATAATTCGATAAAAAGGGGTCTGTACCACGGACTAAGTATTTAAATTGTTAGAATATCGATTTCAAGTGTTTTAGTTGTTAATAGTTCCTTAAAATGATCCTATTGCAAATATAACATCAAGTAAATAGAAATAAAATAGTTTTTTATAGTAAGGGGATTTCCACCTAAAAATCTCGTATATATAAAAATGAAACCAAGCGTTTTGTACGCCAATGATCCAAGAACAATTAGTATTTATCATGGTATCTCATCGCCAAGGTAAAGAGTTAATCCGATGTTTAGACGAGGTGTTAACCAGGGAATGTTATCTACAGGAGCGGCCTAACACGATGTCCTTGTTGTATGTCTGGCGGAACAAGAGTATATTTTGCCCGAACCCATTTAATTATTAACTCAAGACTGATTCAGAATTCTCTCGAAACTTCTATATTCTCTTGGGTTCAACATTGCAGGAAATTCCGAGGAAGGGGAAACCTGATTAATATATATTATGTGGTTATTACACGTGCCGGTTTGAGTCTCAATTTCTCTCTTCCAATGATTTCAAACTGTCCCATAATTCTCCCAAACTTCCATCATCTTCAGCAATAATATTACTTTGTTTGTTTAATTTATTTATTCTTAAAATTCTATTTTTCTACTAGGTCTTTTAGAGTTCAATAAGAAATTATATAATAAATGGAAGCAACAAACTTTTATTAAACATTCTTTCCCATACCAAATATAAATCCCAGATCTTATCGAAATTTTTATAACGGTTGTCTTGTAGTGACCTATAAAATTTAAAATGATAAAATGCAAAGGCACTCACCTGTACATAACGTGACACCGACTAAAATGGAGGCTATGAGGGACGTAGCAGCTTCAGTCTCCTTAAAATATAGAACTAGCTCGTTGTGGAAGACTCCAAAACTGTAGGTCACTCCATCAGCTGCAACAGAAATAAAGTTTATTATTTTTTTTATCATTATATTTTTACTCACACCTTTCAGAAATATTGACAGTCAGTGAATGCTCTGGCGTGGCAACTATTATTAATGCCACGCCAGATATGTTAATGATAGAGAAGAAAGAGAGAGTAGTATCTCTTTATATATCGGCATCTCTTTATATATTTGTTTTACGATTTATAATTAGTCATGGAGATACTTCATCCAACTTCTTTTGAAGTTACTGTTTGATTGGTCATGACTTGAATTAGCAGATTCTTATATCGGTGTATATTATGACGAAATATTTTCCAGTGTGTTCGTATGCAACTATTACCATGTGAAGATTTTTTTATAAATATTCCTTGCGTAACAGAGAGCTTTGGTTATAACTCTGAAAGTTTCTCATCGAAAAGTTTTTAGATTAGTTGTGCAGGCTTTTATGGTTGTTCAAAAGTTCCAAATGAGCTTAAATGATTAAGTGCAAGTGTTCATCGAGATTTATCGACAGAATTTCTTAATAAAAATGAATATGAAACTGTTGATATTAAGATTCATCTCGACAAAGAAAACATTTAAACAATATCTACAACAAGGAAGACGAGGAAGGTTTGCTAAGTACGTGTAAGTTGTGTTTGCCCGATAAATTTAAGAGGCTGATAATGATATTTGATCAGTTGTCCTATATCGGCATCGGGTGGAGCGGATATGAGAAACCTGAAATATTAATTTTAGCACCTGCTCAACTGCGTCATGTTTTACATAATGCTTGTTGTCTAGGGCGCTTCTTTGTTTAAATGTTATTTAATTTAGCGATTAACATACGAGATAAACAAAGAAACTAATTAAAATACCACTTTGATAACGAAAATCAATGATTAATAAAAGAACCAATGATGAAAAAACTGTGGATGAAGACATAAAAGAAATATTTTTCGATATGTAGGAAAGTTAAAGAATTTAAATAAAATAAAATATAAAACAAAGAAAATTGAAACTCTAAATAATTTAAATTAATAAAATTTCTCGCTTCCCGCCAGATGTAAAGAAACGTATATTACGAATTTGTTATTAAGATATATATTGGTAAATTACGAATTTTAATAAAATATTCAAAATTAGGAAGAACGATTACACGTTTATAACAATGTGTTAAAATAACCTTGTGTATTTATCAAATATATATATATATATATATATATATATATATATATATATATATATATATACTATATAGTTAACTTTTCGGTCTTTGTTTTATTATTAGAATCTCAGTACAATATGATTATTTTTCTGTTATTTTGAATTTAGTGGGGTTTATAAGTTTATAGAAAGTCATTTATATTTGTTATTAATGTTTCATTACATAATATTTTTGGATTAATTGGTCAAATTTGTATTACTATAGTAATGGAATGGTTTGATAGTGCTTTAATATGACTGTTTTTTATGCTTTTACAATTATGTATGCGTTGGTTTTTAAAAACAGACAAGATTATTTCGAATCCTATTATAAACATAAATTAAAAACTTCTCTGTTTGGTTTTTTTTTTTTCAAACAACTTTATGAAAGGACAAGATCGAGTTAGTTGTTAGGGCATGTTCAGGTCTTGTTTCACTCGTGGTTTTGTTATCAGGAATCTTCAGGCAAGTCATGTATTATTTTTATGTTTGTGTCTTATACATTTCACTGAAGCAATATTAGATACCTGTTACGCCAAAATAATTGTAGTTATTTATTGCAGAGGCCTCCTTACAAAATAGCAAATAGACATTACTAACCAACTAACAGTAACAATAACAAGGTTGGATCTAATCAACGGAACGAGAATGGAAATCTGTCAGTGGCAGAATTTTACCTTGCTGGCCCTTTTCAAGTTATGTAATCGCTCCAGGACTCCAAACTTTACGTCAGCAGAATGCCCGAGATTGATTATGGTTCGGATTCACTCCTTATTGTCGTCATAAGTTATGCTTCATATTTTTTTTTATTAATTGATTAAATTCAGTAATTGATAATGTTTCATTATGACTGTTTATTTATTTTGTGAATATTATGTATGTATCTCTGAGGGTCCTTAGCCCACATTTCTGTATTTTTGAATTATTCTAAAGGGACTTGTCAAGAATAAATAAAGTATTATTATTATATTTCATGAGTCGAATCTTAGATAGCAAATTTCATAACATTGTTACAACCTGGTTAGAGGTTGAACGCGTTATGGATATTTCATTAAAAAATATTTTTGTTTCACTTGAAATGCGGTAAACAATATGATTTATTTCTAAACGTAATATTTTTAAATATGACAGTTGAAGGTTATTCATTATTTTTACAAACATTTGAAACAGATATTTATGATATATATTTTATTTATATTTTTTTTTTTAATTTTATTTTATTTATATATTTTTTACATTCCACCCCAAGTTTTTGAACGATGTAATATATATATATATATATATTGGAATTCCTAATAAAATCGATGGAGCAATGTCATAGAATAAAGGGCCGTAAAAAAAACCGAACCTTCAAGTATAGGAACTTTATTTTTAACTAGACAAAGAAACATTGAGGATTTTGAATTGTTATTTTGGATACGAAATAAATTCTATGGTTCAGTGGAGCCACAAAGCTCAACTCCATAAGTCCAAAGAGGTCTTATCATCATCTAGTAAATGAGTCTTTTATAATTGATTGGAACCTTGGAGCGTTGTGTGGGTCTAGTTAGTGTTGGAGTAGCCGGAAATATCTAGCAGATTTTTGTCGATTTAGTATTATATGAAGATTCTAGGTAAGATGTTTGTCCAGCTATAGGTAGTGGATCTGTTCAATAAGGATAAATAATCGTATTTAGTATGGCAACAATGAAAAATGGCAGTATTCGCTTTGTGTATAACAAGTTTGTTTTTTCGAAAAAGCTTCATGTCCGATAAATAGAGATAAGACATTTTATTTTACAATTATTTTAATTAATAAAGAACTTTAATGTACCTTCTGGATGGCTATCATTATAATGCCATGAACATTACTTAACAAATAGAAATGGATCCCTGCAATGTCAACTGTAAATGGCTGTAGGCTGATGGCATCAAGGTGTTACGACACCCGTTAACGGGAGTTCTAAGTGACGCCATAAAATTGCAAGCACCTCTTCTGTATTCTCTCTTAAGAATTAGCCACCGTTCCAGCGGTGTAATCGTTTAAATTTTATATAAAAACCCTTGTTTCAGATCCACATTAGTTTTGCGAGAAGTCATAAAGGGGTTCAATCAGAGGACCCCTTAAAGATTTTCCTCAAGGTCACTAGCAGATTTAATTTTGGGGGAGGGGCTTCAGCCCGAAAGATTTTTTTTTTCATATACATATAAAGATAATTAATTTGAAAAAAATAAAGGAATTAACTACCTACTAATTAAATTAACTACTTTAAGAGATAGTTTTTATATTTTTTTCTGTAAGAAATGGTTATATTTTACCATTTTGGGGGGGAAGGGCCTTCAGCCCGAAAGCCCCATCCGCCTGTGCCCAAGGTTATTAAGGTCCCTTTATTTAACGTATTGTCTTCTCAGGAGAAATTTATCTCTACTATGAGAAAGTTATATATATATATATATATATATATATATATATATATATATATGTGTGTGTGTGTGTGTGTGTGTGTGTGTGTGTGTGTGTGTGTGTGTGTATATATATTTTAAGGTGTTTCAGCGGTAAGTAGCCAAACAGCAAAAATAACTAAGGACCTCAAAACAAAACAAATTATCCTCTGAAGGCGTGTCCGGACTTGCTCAATCATATCCCATATCCCAATTAAAGGATTGGCCGTGCACGACCAGTTGCTTGACCTGCACGTTCTCCAGACCTGACACCACTGGATTTTTGTTTGGGGTGACATTAAACAAAAAGGCAATGCAAGTCCAGTCAATGACCTTAATTATTGTATAGAAGCTTGTTGATGGATTGCTCCGAGCTAAACACCCCGCACATCTTAATCTCCCTGCCTTCATATCATGAGATATTGATTGCTCAGTTTTTGTAACTGCAGATCTTTATTGATCTTTTTCCTACATACGTTAGTATTCCGCTCCGGTTTTCGTGCGGAGGATTTCCCTCTCAAATCTATCAAAACTTTTCTAGGCTGCTGGCTAACCATGTAATATGCTGTTCTATGTTAAAGATGCTTTTTTAAAAAAAAATTTTTTAAAAATTCACGGTTTCTTCTCTATATATCAACAAAAGAGTTCGGAGAAATATATAGATATTTTTGGTATTCTTATATTATACAGGATTCGACATTATTGTTTTTTTTTTAATATGTTTAATAAATGTTGAATTTGCTCCTATAAAGAGAATATGTAAACTTAATACATAATCGATATCCATTAGTTTATCATTATATATCATGGACGTTCATAGAATCTATCACTCAGCATATCAGGGTTGATTGATCGCAGGAGAACATTAGCAAGATACAATACCAATGTGTGCTTCCTTTTTTTTATAATATAAAACTCAAGCAAATAAGTCTTAATTGTTATTATTAGTAGGTATATGTTATTATTAGGGAGCAAGCAAAAACAATTCATTTTATGAACTCTTTCTCATTTCCCGTATACAAGATTTCTTAACTGTTATTACTACCGCGATATCACGTTTGACGTGTTAGTTGAAAGCAACTATCGCGGTGAGAGCTACTGGCAGGTTAACTACCGCGTTTACATGCATTTAAAGTGAACTCTATATTGGTTATCGGTTGGGATAACATTCTGATTTTTTATTCTGTTTCTTAATTTGAACTACTTCTATCAACATTTTTTACTTTCACTTATCTATATATGTTATATATAGTAAGAGTAAGTATTGCGATCGTGAAAATTTTCGAATTTGAGTTTTGAACGGAAATACACGTTTTGAGGTCTCCTGAGTCCAAATAACCAAGTCCGCTAAATGGTCTCTGTGTGTATGTGAACAGCCTAGCTGAAAAACGAAAAGCCG